CAGGTTCGGCGGCTGCAAGGGCATGTGGAGGAGCGCCAGGCGGCCTCCTGGGCTCTGACCTCCCAGCTGGAGCAGCTGCGCCTGGAGCGTGAGGCGGCGGCCACACAGCTGCACTTCACGCAGTCCGCTCTGCAGCAGGCGCTGAATGAGCGTGATGGGCTGTACGGGAGGCTGCTCCAGGTTGAGAGATTTCCCCAGGCTGCTCCACTGGCCCGTGAAATAATGGCTGGGCCGCAAACAGAGCAGCATGGGGCTGTGGCATGGCCCCTGGCTACAGAGCAGCAGAGAGGGACGGTGGCCATGGGGCCACATGCTAATGCCCAGACGCCAACCCTGACAGATGTTCTTTGTGTGCCAGAACCCCTGAGTGCCTGGGCCGAGGCCAGGCAGTCTCCTCTGCCAGTGCCAGTGCCAGATCCATTCCCGTGCCCACCATCATTTTCAATGGAAGTCCCATTCTTGCCAGCTCTACCACCTGCTGTAGACATGGGAGCAGAAGCAGCAGCAGTCCCACTTCAGATGCCTCCTCCTGGGATCCACCCACCTTGCCAGTGGCCTGCAGTGGACTTCCAGGAGGAGGTGGCCCCTCTGTGGTACCAGAGAAGCTGCATTCAGGAGGAAGGTTCTGAGATCCTACAGGGGTCATTCCCTTTAGGAGACAGCAGAAGCCACAGCCAGGGAGAAGATTCAGAGAGGTCCCAAGGAATGCCCCTCCCTGGGGACAGTGGGCGCCAAAACCAAGAGGAAGATTCAGAGAGGCCCCAGGGGACAGCCCCACTGTGGAGCCACAGAAGCCACTTGCAGGAAAAAGGTACAGAAAGACCCCAGGGGCCCAGAAAGACACAAAATCAGAAAGAAGGTCCAAAGAGGGCCCAGACGAGGCCCACCATGCTGTTTAGAAGGAGCCACAAACTAGAAGGTCCAGAGAGGCCCCAGGGGACTGTCCCCAGGGGAGACAGCAGAAGCTACAGCCAGGAGGGAAGTTCAGAGAGGGCCCAGGGGATGGCCACCCTGGTGGTTATCAAAAGAAGCAAACCAGAAGGTCAAAAGAAGCCCCAGGGGACTGTCCGCCTGGGGGGCAGCGAAAGTCATATCAAGGAAGAAGGTCCAGAGACGTCCCAGGGGACTGTCCCCCAGGGAGACAGCAGAAGCTACAGCCAGGACGGAAACCCAGAGGGGGCCCAGGGGATGGCCACCCTGGTGTTCAGCAGGAGCTGCAAACCAGAAGAAGGTCCAGAGAGGCCCCAGGACACTCCCCTGGGGGTCAGCAGGAGCCATGGTGTCAGAGAAAGCCCAAAGAAGCAGCAGCCTGAGGGGCAGAAGGCCAAGCAACCAAAAGTGAATAAAGTCTCAGGATCCCAGCAACGGGAGAAGTGTGCCTCATTGGCAATTCCAGCGAATTGGAAATGTCCATGTAAAGCCATGAATTTTTCATGGCGTCCGGCCTGCTATAAATGCAAGAACGTCCGTGTGCCATTTGAGAGTGGAGGACAAACTCACTGATTTCAGAAAGGTAAGAAAGAATGGACACACTCCAAAGAGAAACTAATTTCCTAAGACCCCCTTCTGATTAAAATATAACTTATTTACTTCACAGAAAAATTGAAACCAAAATTATGGACAAAATTAAAAATTAAATAAAATAATTTATTATCCCATTACCCAAATTAGCCATTTTAAAAATTATTGTGGATATACAGATAAGAAAATTTATATTCTTATTTTATTCATTTACTTGAACAGAGATGGACTAATTTTGAGTATCATATTTGTTCTTTGAATAGGGGATTTTTTCTGATCGCATTTACGTTTTCCAGGTGGTAGATTCTGGGTGGCTGATGCTGATTGGTTAACACCCTGGAGAAGTTGAAGTCACGAAGTCTTTTCTTTTCCTTTTTGTTTCACTCCTTTTCCTGAAAATGCCTCGTATGTGGCTGGGAGTAGTTGTGTGATTTTTAGAGTCAGAAGCTATGTTGAATTTTAGGGATGGTACTTTTCTTGGAAAATGCTGTTATTCCTTTGGAAAGAAATTTTGGAAACACCACTTTTCCTTGAAAATGCTATTTTTCCTTTGGAAACTACTGCAGTGTTCATGTTTTCTTCATTTTGTTTCATTGGTTTTATAGGTGAGGTCTTATTTTTGTATCTCATCCCCACCAAACTTGCTTGTTGCTGAAGAAGCTGAACCTGTCACAAAGTGCTGGGATTATAGGCATGAGCCACGGCACCCAGCCCCCCAATTTTTTTTTTTTTTTAAGAAAAGAGAAAGAATTTTTAAAACTTTCCCACTCTTTGAGGATTGACTCTGTT